CCGCCCCCCCCACCCCCCGCTCCCCACCCCGGACCACTCCGCGGCCGCCCGCTCCCCCTTCCGGGGCGGGACGGCCACGACGCGGCCTCCGCGCCACCGCTGCGGCGCCCAGGAGACGCGGAGGAGGGCGGCCCGGGGCCCGGAAGGGCGACCTCTGGGCGGTCACCAGCGTCGAGGTGGGCGCAGCCGGCGGGAACCGCCTGGGTGCAGGGCACGCGGCGACGGAAACCTCTGGGTGTGCTCGCTCGGTGCTCCCGGATCCGCGCCTGCCGGTCCTCTACCCGGCTCCGCCCACGTCCTCTGCCCGCCTGTGCCCTGCATTCACCTGGGGCCCGTCCGAAAGCCGCGTCCCCTCCCTGCCCGGGAGCTCTGATCCCCGCGGCGGGCGGGGCGGGGGGGGGGGCGTGGGTGTTGTAAAAGCTCCCGGGTGACCCTCCGGAGCAGCCGGGGTACAGAAGTCTGGGTTAGCCAGAGGAGGTGTCTGTGCGGAGGGCTTGAAGAGTGCGAGAGCTCCAGAGGGCACGTGCTGGTGCCCCTGAGCGTCCTCTTCAGTTTTCTGCCCCAAACACGACACACTTTCATCCTCTTTGTAGGCCTGGGACTCTGCTGTCTCCAGCAGCAAGGCCACGCATGGTTCGGGCGTAACTGCCACCTGTGTCTCAGGTCCAGGAGATGCGGTCACCTCTGTTCAGTGACGTCAGGCTGGTGGCCACCCTCGGAAGCGCGACAGGGGCCCCGTTTTCCACCTGCCTGAGTCCACCCAGCTCTTTGAACAATTTCAAATTGCTCTCCTGTTTTTCTTCTCCCCCTTAAATGCTTAGCCCTGTACACACTAATCATGTGTGTATCTTTGGCAAAGATCCAGTTCAACCAACACTTTCAGCAAGCGATTCTGGAACAATTGATGCAGGCTGCCAAAAACAAACAAAAAACAAAAGCAAAAAAACCCAACAACAGTCCTCCATCTATACTTCTCACCATGTCAAAAATGACCCTGAGAGGGATTGCAGACTTAAAATGTAAAACCTGGAACTAAGCATTTCTAGAAGAAAGCATGGGAGAAAACCTTGATGGCCTTTGGCTTAGTCAAAAATTTCTGAGCTCCTGGGGAGTTCTGTTAAATGCATACGGGGAACATGGTGTGTGTTGAGTCAACTTTTTAGGCTATATGAAGCCCCTTCTTCCGGGTGGGAAATCGCAACACATAGTCCTGTTGATTCTGTAAGTGAAGAAACGTTTGGGAATGGGTAACAGGTGGCATAAATGCCAGGAGTCCTTCAGCCAAAGATTTCCGCTTTGTGGAGTTTCATACAGAAGCCCTGGAGCTCTAAGAAGAATGGGGTGATAGTTTCTGTTCAAGAGCTGGCGTCGTGTAAGTAGGGGAGAAATGTCTGGGCGAAGTAGATTTTGAAAGCAAATTTGTTGCCCTCCTGTGTGCCGAAGAGCAGCCAATCTAGCTCGGAAGCCCGTCGTGAAGTCATTGTGGGATTTCTGTTCCAAATACTGGATGTACTGTTGGGTGCAACTCATTCAGGCATTGAAGTATGATTGTTTGTATGTTTGTTTTAACTCAGTTTTATTTGCTTTCCAGTATTTTATCACCACCACCTGATAAGTAGAAACCGTGAGGTCTGGAAAACCATGAAACATGAACTCTGGGAATTGTTTCTACAGTCAGATTATATGTTTTTTGTTTTGTTTGTTTTGTTTTTTAAGTAATATCTACATCCAAGGTGGGGCTCAGACCCATGACCCGGAGATCAAGAGTCTCCTGCTCTACCAACTGAGCCACCCAGGTGCCCCAACATTATATGTTTTTAGTACTTAGAATATAAAACGTTTGCTTCCTGACTTTTCTCCTTCCCATAAACTGTCTAGGCCTAGGGGTTGATTTGTACAAACAGTCCTGTCTATACTAGGTGTTGTACTAGTGATCTGGTTTTTACTGTGTGGTCCCAGGGATGAGACACAGGGTAAAAGGAAGAGAAAAATGATTCAGCTCACCTAAGACGCCCCTTCCTGAACGTCTCCCCTCAGCTGGGACCAGAACTCTGCTTTGATGTCCTGCTTATCACTCCTTCTGTTCCCCACTTTTTTTTTTTTTT